GAATTTAACTTAATTTATTTGAACTTATTACAACTTATTTTAGTTATATTTTGAATTTAGGTCTTTTTTATCAAAACTTATTTTTCATGAACTGAACTTATTTTTCCTGAACTGAACTTATCTGAACTTAATTGAACTTATATGAATTTATTAGACTTAAAATAAGTGAAAATAAGGTTTATAGAATAGGCCCTAAATTTACGCAACTTGTTCCATGCATATTCTTATTATCTTATGTGAATTTGATAATATAAGTAAGAAATTTTTTTTTCTAAGTATTTGTAAATAGACAATGATTTTTGTATAATTTGCCCGTATTATAAGAAAAGCGTCAGATAGAATTCATGACAAAAGGGTATGTAATTATTTTTTTGATGTTTAGGGAGCCACAAGCACAGGTGATCAGCCAGGATCTCTTGGAATCGGGAGGGAAGCTCTAATTACTAGAGCTATCCCTCACTTTCATGCAAGGGGCATGTAATTATATATGGATATTAAGTTCAATGTAATTGTTTCAATTTGTAAATGGTCAATTACTAGTTTTAATTTTAATTTTTTTTTTTGGACAGTTTTAATTAGTTCATAGTGAAAAAGAAATGTCAATATACTAGAGGCAAAAGCTACAGATTTAATTAGTTAAGTACCTAAAAGAAACCAAAGTGGGCAAACAAGTATGTTTTAGTAAAGCTTCGAGATCATAATGTAGATTGAAGTTGTTCAAACAATCTAACCGAAGTTCAACCAAGTCGGCTCCTTGCTTCTTGGCTTCCCTTACTTGAACCAGCATTGCTTCAACTGTTTTAGCCAAAATCGACGTACAAATCATCGTCGAGTTTCTCCTTACGTTCTCTCCTACACCAACCTCCAAGGGAGCTCCCTAGAAAAACCCACAAGGCCACAAACAAACAATGATTGTGTAAGTCTACAAAAATGATGAAAAAAGTGCTAGAAAAAAACTGTGTGTATGTGTGCGCGCATGTGCGGAGGGCCGGAGGAGATACCCAGTTCCAGTAGCCGGAAGTAAGAATCATTGTAGTGCAAGAGATTAGACAAAGAAGAGATGAGTTGATTAGAGGCTTAGCTTGTTTAATGTGTACTAACTTGGCAAAATTAGTTAATTAATATAGTACTCCCTCCGTCCATAATGTAGTGTATGTATTTCATATAACTATATAAGGTGTACAAAATTGTTATGTTTGTTTATAATCTTTCTATTAATCAGTAATTTCTTATAATTATACCGATTAATAATTTTTTGGCGCGTTTTGTGTGCGGCTGGCCACATCATGTGGTCGTTTGTAAAAAAACAAATTAAATCCTATAACATTGACTGAATAACCCCTGTGATAATGACCAATTAACCTTATAACACTGCCCGAGTAACTCCTATAACAATGACAAAATAACCCCTGTAATACTTATCGAGTATCCCCTGTGACACTAATTAAGAAACCTTCGATGTGGCCCAGATGAAAGTTTGTGAAAACTTTTCTATCTTTTCAATATAATATACATCAATGAAACCCCAAATTTGGTGCTACTTCTACTTTTAATTTTCTTAAATAAACTATCCCTGTATTCAAGTTTCATTCAATGCATATTTGATTAATCTAATAAAAAAACTCAATTGCTAAACATCGCCCGCGAATCTCCACATAAAGCCCACAAAATTAGAGTGAATTGTCACTTTTGCCCTCAAAGTAAAAAACACAATTTCTTCTCTCAATTCTCTACTTCCACTTTCTCTCTCTAAAAAACTTTCCGAGCGATGTCGAGGCGGCCCGGCAAGGAAGTGGCGGCACAGGCGGCGGGTGGACAGCGGTTTTCCGGCGAGAAGGTATTTTTTATTAATTTTGTGTTTAAAAATTAAAAAAAAAAAGGTCGGAGGCGGTGGTGGCGCCTAGGCCAGACGCCACCACCACGGCGGCGGCGTCTAGCCCAGACGCCACTACCACGGCGGCGGCGCCTAGGCCAGACGCCGTGACGGTGGCGGTGGCGTCTGGCCCAGGCGCCAGAACCACGGCACCGGCGTCTGGCCTAGGCGCCGCCGCCGTGGTAGTGGCGTCTGGGCTAGACGCCGCCGCCACCGTCACGGCGTCTGGCCTAGGCGCCGCCGCCTTTTTATTTTTTTTTTTAATTTTTTTTTGGTTTTAAATTTGAAATTTAATTTTCGAAAATAATTATTTTTTTTTTGATTTTTTTTTAAATTTGTTTTTCTTTTTTTTAATTTTAAATTTTATGTTTCTGATTTTTTTTTTATTTTGTTTTAAATTTTGTTGGTTTTTTTTAAAAAAATTTTATGTTCCTCTTTTTTTTTTTTTAATTTTTAATTTTATGTTCTTGTTTATTGTTCTTGTTTTTTTTTTTTTTTGAATTAGTTTTTTTACTTAAAAAAAATTTTATGTTCCCTTTTTTTTGTTATAAATTTTTTTTAAAATTTTGATGTTCTTCTTTTTTTAAGTTTTTATAATTTTATATTTTTCACTTTGTTTTTTCCAATTTGTTTTTTTTGGGTAATTTTTTTTTTTGCTTTGTTTTTTCCAATTTTTTATTTATTTATTTATTAGGTTATTAATTTTTTTATTTTTAGGTTGTTAATATTTTGTAATGTTTTTAATTTATTTTCCATCATATGTATATTATTTTATTTATTTATTTTAATTACTTTTTTTATGTTTATATTACATGTTTATATTGCATATTACATGTTTTGTTATTTTGTGTTAGGCATCGTATTTTCGTTCTGGGGCTGGGAAGAGTATGGACATTATGAGAAGTACGATGAACTCAATGGAGAGCTCGGGGCCCAGACACGTTAGATCCCGTGGTATTTCGGCCTCGGCTCGTAGAGAACGGGTGCACTATTCTGAGGATGATGAAGATGATGATGGTGATGAGGAGGAGGAGGAGGAGGATGCAGATGAGGATGTGGACGATCAGAGTGGACCATATGATGATTACGGTCCATTCAGTCAGAGGCTTGATGATGTGTATGAGACGCGTAGGGTAGACGTGCGTAAGGGTAGAGATGGTAGATTTGTTAGTAGATCTGGCACATCATCTGCGTCCACTGTGTCTGCGGTTAGCAGAAAACGGTCGAGGGCCGTTAATGATTCTTGGGTGGTGAGGGGCGAGGTGGCTGGGGGACCTATAGACGGGAGTGTGATTCCTAGCTTTCTAGGACACATCGCTACCCGTATTTGGGAGGACCAAGAGCGGGCTTTGGATAGCGGCATTTTGAAATGCCAAACCCGGGAGAGGACTTGTAACTTCTTGTGTAGTTGGGCTGAGGCTTGGCCGGAGGAGAGCGAGATGGTCGGCCGATTGAGGGCCACTAGAGTGAGCCACCTTCCTGCCACCATGCATGAGAGGATTGACTCGACGCTGATCACGGCTTTCGTTGAGCGATGGCAGCCGGACACGAACTCTTTCCACCTTCCGTTCGGTGAGATGACGATCATGTTGCATGACGTCGAGGCCATCCTTGGGATTCCCGTAGAGGGAAACCGAGCATCTGTTGTCACAGATGCGGATCAGGCAGATTTATTGGCGGAGCTGTTGGCGGTGGATAGGGCTGCGCTGTACACAGCGGCACTTGGTGTGTGGGATCACGGCGGTGTTAAGATCGCAGCAGTTTTGCAGCGATGTTTGCACCCCACTTCACGTAGGACGCAGGACACACAGCTGGCTGCATATGTTTTTCTTCTTCTCGGGTGTACCTTGTTTCCGGATAAGAGCGGAAACAAGCTCAGGCCACGCGACATAGTTGACGCGTGTGAGCCCGACAGAGTAGGCCAGTTTTCTTGGGGGTCGGCTACATTAGCGTACATGTATCGCCAGTTAGGATTCTCGAGCCGGGCTGATGCGGCAGGTATCACTGGATGTATGACGTTGTTACAGACGTGGATATACGAGTATTTCCCGGCGTTTCGACCACACCGCGACCCGGTTCCTATTGGGGATGGCCAGCCACGTGCCTGTGCGTGGAGTCCGCGTGTCGAGAAGAAGTCCATTGACCGCCTGCGATCGATACGGTTATTGCTTGACAGGATGTCCCCATTAGAGGTAAAGTGTTTAAATTATTTCTACTTTTATAGTTTGATGTGTTTATTGTATGAATCTTACTAATTTTAAAAAATGTGCAGGTGAACTGGATGCCTTTCGGCCAGAACCCTAGTAATAGGGTACCCAGGACCCTCTACACGGGACTGATTCAGTATCGTGAGATCGTAGAGGCGTACATGCCGCAGCGCTGTCTTCGCCAGCTTGGATATGTCCAAGTTGTTCCTCCTCCACCAGCATGGCCCAGTAAGGCCGTCCGATCTGCGTCGTTGAAGGAGTACGTCGTCCAATGGCCGGCAAGCATGATTGGCACGTGGGAGCAGTTTCCGATGGTTGCCCGCATATGGATTGAGCAGTTGCAGCGGCCGCCAACTGGGGTGGCTGCCATGTGTGACCAGCACTACATGGAGTGGTACAACCGGCACTCGCACCCGAGGTTGATCAGAGACGTCCACCACGGCGACGACGCCGATGATGATGATGTGCCACCGCCCACTGCCGTGGATGCGGTACGTCTCATAAAACATTTGTAGTTGTGTTTTTTTTCATATAATACGTCTCATAATACGTCGTTATTGAATTTTATGTGTTTTGTTATGTGTAGTGGATGGGAAAGATGACGCAGTTGGGACACAGACTTTTTGAGGAGAGGGACAACATGACGACTGCAACAGGCAGAGCTGTTATTGATGAACTGGAACGGGCCCTTGAGCAGTGGCAGTGGGCGTCACAGAGAGATTATTGATATGTCGGCAGTGCATTTATAAAACATTTTCCTAGTTGTTTGTAAAAGTTAACATTATCTGTTCTTATAATTATTATTTTAAGTTCTTAGAATTTGACATTATATTTTTAGTTTTTATAACTTTTATTTTAAGTTGTAATTAGTGGGCATACGAAAACTAAATACAGGTTCACATTTAAATGGGAAAACTAAATACGAAAATTAGAATCCGAAAATTAAATAAATGGGAAAAACATAGCAATAGCAATATTAGGTCACATAGAAAAGGCAACTAGATTGTTCCACTGCTGCACCCGGTCATGATATAACGCATCCCAGCCCTCTACGCTTGCTGTACGAATGGTGTACCACGTTGGTATAATCGGTGGGACCGGAAAATCGGGTGACAGGTCCAGTCGGATGAAATGTCTGTATGACGGCCCCAGAAATCCAATAGCAACCTCTCTTACCGGTCTGGTGACGGTCTCACGCGAACACCAAGGCAGAACCGTGGTACACGGATAGTAAGCTCGACCATGCAAACCAAGGCCGAAATGCATCACTGCACACTTGTAGATGTTTGCAACGGCGAAGAGATCAAGGGGCGCGTCGAACCAATGATTTTGACCGCAACGTCCTCCTCCCCACCGGATACGCTGCAGAGACCTATCCAAGTCCTGTCCGTACACGTGGCGATAAACAGCTCGGTTTGAGGCGATTTCACTGTACATCAACTGACGCACTAAACCGTAGTTGTCTTCACCCATCTGAAACACATCAGCCACAACCCGAAATCCACAGTTACCATCTGCAACCACATCATTCCACCCGTCCAGGAACGGCATCATGATGTTAGGGATCCTGTCTTTATATGGAAAATGTTCAATGTCCATTCTGCCTGTTGCACACATCAAAAAACACAATTAACAAGTTAGCAGAAAACTAAACAAACACTCTAAAAAGTAAATTAAACTAAAGTACCGTACCGGTGCCGGGCATATTCACCGACGAAGATGTTTGACTACCACTTGATGACGATGTACGACCACGGCCACGACCACGACCACGACCACGAATGTACTCAAACGCACTCCTTTCCCGCCGTAACACAAAAACAAAAACAAATTAAAACAATTAAAAACAAAACAAATAAATAAATTAAAAACAAAAACAAATTAAAACAATTAAAAACAAAACAAAAAAAAAACCAAAAAAAAAAGAAAAAAATTGTAACACAAAAAAAAAAAATAAACAAATTTTAAATTAAATTAAAAAAAAAAAAAAAAAATAGTGGTGGCGCCTAGCCAGGACGCCGCCACCGTGGCGGTGGCGTCTAGCCAGGACGCCGCCACCGTGGCGGTGGCGCCTGGCCAGGACGCCGCCACCGTGGCGGCGGCGTCTTGGCCAGACGTCACGGCCACGGTGGCGGCGTCCTGGCCAGGCGCCAGAGCCACGGTGGCGGCGTCCTGGCTAGGCGCCACCACTACGGTCACGGCGTCCCGGCAGGACGCCAGCCGCCAATTCGTGGTTTTAGATGGCTTCGTACCTCCTTTTCCGGCGTCAACGGCGTCTCTCCGGTGCATCTACCCGACGTTGAGGGCTCTTCGGTTTCACTCGGCGATCCAGTCCTGCTCCACATTTTTTATGAGTGAAAAATTTTATTTTCGGTAAAAATTAAAACAAGGGCAATAATGTCAACATTTTTAAAAAATGTGGGCTTTATGTAGAAAAACGCGGGCGATGTTTAACAAATCCCTAAAAAAAAACACTTGGTTTTTTCCCCTTATTTGTCATTTTACACACTCATTTCACTAAATTTCTATTAAAAACAAAATAAACATTATACTATAAGACAGAGAAAGTATGTCATTTCGAGTGTGGGACATAACATAAGGCAGCTGAGTACTGTTAGTGCGCTGAATTAGTGGTACGTGATTGTGAGACATTAAGCAAATTATTGAGCTTTGAGCCAACCACGGCCAAGCCAAGGGGAAAAATAGGTGTGGCCTGGACCAAAATATAGGATTAGGAGATAGCACAAGTTTATAATTTTATTGTTGATTAATGTAAAATTGTAAATGTACAATTTGTTTTTTTTGGTGGAAGTAAATGTACAATCAGTGAAAAACGTGTTTGATCCCTAAAGTTTGCAGAAATCACTGGCTTTTTGCACATTATTTTGTTTGCTTCTCAACTTTTCTTTACCTATGAACTTTACTGTACTTTTTTCTATTAGTACAACTAAATTAAAGGTAAATGGATTGATCATTGATGATAAGGTACTTGTGTTTTGTATGTAAGATGACTGATGAGAAGTACAGTTTTTTGTCAAAATTTTTAGAGTATGACTGTGAGAAATAGAAATGGTCTGGGCATTTCTACTAGATTCGGATCATATTAGGTGAACTAAACATAGCCGTAGTCATTTCATGGAAGTGAATGGAGGGAGGGGCGGCCCATTTGATGCGATCGTCATAGATGCAGTTTATTGCAGTGGTTAACAAAAAGCAAAAAAGTTGTTTCCATCTGTAATTGTAATGCTTCCAAGTTACAACTTCAATGACCAATTTTAGTTAATTAATTAAATGTTGTTACACACATGTGCAATAATATACGTCTACTTCCTTTCAACCTTTGTCCAAAAAAAAAAAAAAAAAAATCGTCTACTCATCATATTTTATTTAGATGACCGGTATTACTCCTTCTATCTCATAATATAATGTCTGATATTAACGAAAATAAAAAATAAAAAAAAGTGATATTACAAAACTGTACATATATTAAGACATATCCAGTGAAAATAAGTAATATCTGACATAGCCATGTTTAACATAAATTTTGTATGAAATCTAGTGAAGCAATGATATATCTAGCTATGTTTTATGTAACTTATTATGAAGTATTAATAAAAATTTATGTTCAAAATAAAATAAACAGGGATGTAGCTAGATTGTGATTATAGATGGGAAGACCATGTTGTCAAAAAATAAATAAATAAACGTTCTCTTTATATCAACTTTAATTCAATGTCATACTCAAACTAGTCAATTTTCCTTGAAAAATTAATAAATTACGGAGTATCTAGTTTGTGATTAGATTGATTTAGTGTCAATAATATTAACCTAGCTAATGCAAGCAATTAAGGTAGTATATCTTCCCATCTTTTCTCCTTCTCCATAAAACCATTATTCTTCATTAAAAACGATACTTTATTACGAAGTATTATGAATTATGATTCATGGTGTTTGTGGTTAGATGATGGCGAAGGTGATATTAGTCATGAAAGTCAATGGAGGATGGGTCCTAAATTCCTAATTGAGGTGTAGAAGTAGTTTTGGTAATTACAATTGTTAAATGTCCCTCGTGCAAGGTAACAATTACAACATTAATGACCCACATTAATTAATTAAAATTTTGACAGGTATTAATTAATTAATAAATATTTACTTTGACGCAAAATCTATATCTATACTTATATTTATATATTAAAAGCATTCCTAAAAAGGTTTATGTGCCACATGACACGCTCGTCATGTCATCTTTCAACTATGAGCATATTCTAATGAAAATTGTCTATCATGAGATTGGAACTCACAACCACAAAAATATGCATTAGAAGTCTTGTCATCTCATCTATTGATTAATCATGCTTTTATACTCGACTCATAAATATATATATGGATTGAAGATCTAAACATTTAATGACTGCTATTTTTTTTTAAAAATCGTGTCTATTACTTGCTAATAATGCTCATCGATGAGGTAATGCATACAAGAAAAATTAACTATTGAATTTTAGTTATTTAATTATTTTGATAATAAGTATGTCTTTATTTTTATTATATTATAAAATTTTATACAAAGGACATGTTTATATAATTAGTCAATAGCTGTTCCATAAAGAATTTATTATAAATAAACAAATAATGAATAAATAAATAATAAAGAATGAATCTATCTATTCAATTATAAATGCTCAAAGTGATAACTCGGGGCATTGTCCAGGTCATACACTAGTTAATTAATTAAATGTCGCTATACGCATAATAATTTATTAATTACAAAGTAACTAATAAATGGCAACTCAAATTCCACATCCACCTAGGATTGACTCAACTAATAGCCATGCGGATCAATAATTTAGGCTATATTTGATTATTTGACTATATATTAACCTTATTTGTACACTAAGATAAAAATTACATGTACACTAATATGTACTTTTCAAATTGGAGTACGTTGTTCTTTGACATTATGATTGGGGTGAAGTTGTGAGAAATCAAATTGGCGGCATTAAAAGTATTGTAAGTGAAAATAAAGTTACTCCGTATAGATAGTTGTTTATACCCTTTCCTCAAAAAAAAAAAAAAAAAAAAAAAATAATAAAAAAATAAAAAGTTGTTTATACCCATCTAGTTAAATTAGTTAACACAACCAATTATATCAAGAGGCTACCATATTAACCCATTAGGGTAAGGTATGAGAAAGATGGCAGTGGTTAATCTGGTAGAAGCAACGCAATCGATCTGGTAGGAGTGTGTGGTTATGCGGTGGGGTCGATCTGGTTGGAGCGGTGGGTCGTGCGATCTAAAGGAAGAAGGAGATTGGGTTTGTAGAGGAGAGAGAAGGAAGTATTTTTGGGGTTTAATTTGTTGAATATGGTGAACAGTGAGTTGGTGAAGAAGAACCAAAGTTCATATTCAAAGCAGCCTCGTTGAATATGGTGAACAAAGTTCAGATTCATAAAGTTCCAAAAAAAGAAAAGAAAAAGCAAAAAATAAGTGGTTGTGGCCATGGTGAACAATGAAGAAGATTGGGTTTGTAGAGGAGAGAGAAGGAAGTGTTTTTGGGTTTGCACACTTAATGGCACAAATAACACTGTCAAAAGCAAAATAAGTAAAAAGCCAAAATTCTCCTTACTAAACCACATGAAAAGACAGCGCTAGCCCTAGATAAACGAAAATGGGTTATAAACTTATATTTTCTCTTATATCAATCCGTTACCAACTCATTAACAAATAGGGCCTATATAGTATAGGGAAAATTCAAAGGAACAAATCAAATTGAAATTATGGCAATCGTCATTAGTTGAACTTTGCTCTTAAATAAAAGAACTAACCTTTTGAAGGTAAAAGGGAACAATTTATGTAAAGCAAAATTCTATGGAAATAGAGAGACGACGGGTTACCAATTTACCATAACATACTCAACTTCGCTAAAAGTTGTAGTTTAAATAATCACAACTTTCAAAATTAGCAGTTTGAGTTCCCAAAGTTGCTTTCCAATTTTATTTTTTTTTTTTTTATTTTTTTTTTTTTGAGAAAACGAAGAGCAAACAATCCATTAAGTTAGTCCATTTCCGCCAAAGTTATAATACTTTGGGGAAAGGAATTTACTCGTACATTTTCAACGTTTGCACTCGTATCCCATCTAGCAATGAGATGTGCAACCGTATTACAAACTCTTCAAACATGAGAAACTCTAAAAACATCAAAAGAAGAACTACTAAATCTAATATCATCATAAATAATACCAATTGGAGCATGAATCATAGTCCTTGAGTTAACAGCAGCCACCACATTTGAAGCATCAGATTCAATCCAGAGTTTAGAATAGCCCATCTCTTTGCCAAAATCACAGCATACCTCATCGCCATTGCTTCAATACACTCCACTGAAGATAGATGCACACGCTTAGTTGCAGCCAAAAGTATTTGTCCGTGCCCATCCCTGAACACAACACCAAGCCCTGCATATCCACTCCCAGGAACGTGAGCATCCACGTTTGCTTTAACACATCCAGAAGTAGGACATCGCCACCTCGTAGCACCACTTACAACACCCGTTGAGGAACATGGCTGGAAGACTTCAGCTGCATACAACGAATAATCGTGCACCAACCTGCAAAAACTAGCAGCAAGAGAGACCGGGTTTGGGTTCTCATTAGCATAAACCTTCAGATTGCGGCAACGCCAGGAAGCCCATAGCAGAGCAGCCATAGTACTAAGGTCTGTAGCATTACATTTTCTACGTAACCATATCCAGAAAGTAGAAAAAGATTCTAAAGGAGCATCAACCTAATTAGACTTTAGATCACTGCCAGATAGTCTTTGCAGCCACACATTCCAGAAGAGAATGCATGATGGTTTCCCTCTCAACTCCACAAATCTAACATGAGGCATCCCCTATAATATGTCGATGAACTAATCTGTCTTTAACAGCCATGTTGCCATTTGCCGCACTCCATAAAAAATGCTTAAGTTTGGGCGGACCATGTATATTCCAGATCAACCTCCACACCTCGTCCTCCTCACCCCCATACATCACATTGCCACTACCTTCCTTAGCTAGCCAGTAACCAGAACGGACAGAATGCACCCCATCTTTGCTTCTACACCGGTACATAGAATCTTCTACATATCTGTTTGACAAAGGGACAGAAAGCACACTAGTACAGAGCTCCATATCAGACACATTATTAAGGATCGAAGTATCCCACTCTGAGAAATTCTCAGTCATAAGTTCATTAACAGACATATTCTCATCAAACCCAGCAGGAAAATATGCCCTTCCATCCTTAACTAACCACGGGTCCTTCCAGGCTCTAATATTCACTCCCCTTCCAACCCTTCACTCTAACCCATCTCGAAGTAACACCTTAGCTCCCCAAATGCTCCTCCACGCATAGCTTGGATTGTGACCCCGAAGAGCTTCTAGAACACCCGAATGCTTGAAATATCTTGCTTTCAAAATTTTGTATAGCAAAGAAGAATTATTAGTGTACAGCCGCCAAACTTGCTTTGCTAATAGCGCTTGATTAAAGCATTTCAAGTCTCAAAATCCCATACCACCCTTCGATTTCGGAGTACAAAGTTTTTCCCTCAATCCCCACCAGAAACGGCACAACAAAGAATGGATTTCATCAATAAGACTCTCTGGAATTTTAAAGATGCTCATCATATACGTCGGGATGGCCTGAGCCACTGCTTTAATTAGGATCTCCTTTCCCGGCCTTGACATAAACCACTCCTTCCAACCATTCAATTTCTTCCAAATCCTCTCTTTCAATACTGCAAAAATAGTCTTTTTCGACTTACCAATAATCGTCGGGAGCCCGAAATATTTCTCATGTTTTTCCACTTCCCGAATCCCTAGAGTTTCCACAATCGCATTTCTCCTGTCAATAGGAACACATTTGCTAAAAGCAACCTTTGTCTTACCAAGATTGACTTTCTGACCGGATGCTCTCTCATAAACACTGATAATTTCAGCAATTTTCGAACATTCCTGCTGAGTAGCTTTAGCAAAGAGTACTATCATCCGCAAAAAATAGATGAGACGCTCTAGGAGCCGAATGGCAAATTCTTGCCCCACTAATCTTCTTCTCAAAAGCAGCTTTGGACAATAAGGAAGAAAAAGCATCAGCACATAGAAGAGATAAATAACTGAGCCTGAAACTTCACCATTCACCTTAAAAGAGAAAGAGACACTAGAGATATAGTTCATAACCCGACGAATCCAATTCATCCCAAAACCCAATTTGATCATCACCCTCTCCAGAAACGACCATGCCATCCTATCATACTCCTTGCTCATATCAATTAAGTTTCAGAATCACCGTACCACGTCTACCTTTTCCCCTCCTCTTCATAGAGTGAAAAATTTTCAAATGCAATTAAGGCATTATTAGTAATCAACCGACCCGATACAAAAGCACTTTGATTTATATAAATAATATCATTAAGAAAATACTTGAGTTTGTTTGCTATCGTCTTTGATATTATTTTATAAATCACATTATAACAACTAATCGGTCGATACTCTAACATAAATTTCGGGTTATTACATTTAGGAATAAGTACAATGCATGTTCTATTGATTTCCGAAATGTCAATCAGGCCATTCCACCAATTCTTCACCATAACACAAATATCGGAACAGACAATATGCCAAAATTTCTGAAAAAATAAAGCATGCATACCGGCGATTTATTGGAGTGCATTTGAAATAGCAGTATCCATATCTCCCCCCGCGCCAACTGGAGCTCACTTTCATAATTTTTTATATCACCAAATGAAGAGCTAGCCCACTTTTTGAGTTTCTCCGCACAATTTGCAATACGTAAATGCGGAGCACTCCCTTCACTATCCTGCCAAGCCTTCGATACCACCGAGGAGCATTCATCTTTAGACAACCACAAAGGCTCGAACCGAAATAGTTTGTGCTTCCTTCCCCTCTCATAATAATTAATAGTATCAAGGACAATCGGAGAATGGTCAGAATTATATGACGAACAGCATAGTCAGGAAAAGCCAAACACCAGCTATCACTTCCCATAAACCTATCAAGCCTCTCCCGTACCACCGTACTCTCTGTTCTACCTCTTTGCCATGTAAAAATATTTCCCTTCAAACCTAAATCACGCAAACCACTTTACTCTAATAACTTTTTTTTTTTTTTGAAAGATTACTCTAATAACTTGGTGCAACAGATTATTATTATTTTTTTTAAGTGCATTTGATTAAATAACTAACTTAAAAAAATATATATACAAGTACAAAGTATATACTTTATTGTTTTTTTTTTATAATTACAACACCTTCTTGACTTGTCATTTACGAAAAGTAAACGAACAAATTAAGCTATAAAGATTTGAATCGTAACAACTATTAGAGGTAAAAGTTATTTCAATTAATTTGTCTATTTATCTGGTCTAATATATTTCTTAAAGTATGTGTCAAAGTAGTGTGTTGCGAAATATAAAAATGGAGAAGTATTATAATTTAATCAACAAATAATAATATACATGTTGTCAACAACACAGTAGTATATCTTCCTCAAATGATCAATTTTCCACAGAATCCAAAATCAATCAACAACTCAAGGGTTCATCCCCAAATTAGATCAAAACCCACCAAAAACATTTTTTTGGGGATTAATTATTCTTAATTTGTTGTAGCTCAAAGCCTCATCAATTTTCAGTCTCCTAGCTTAACCTAAACTATATTTGTTAACTAGCAACCTTCACCTAAATCCTGATCAAATTTTTTCGAACCTTCAATACCAACCGGCATGTCAATGAAACTCGTTTGGCTGTTCGACATAAAGTCTTGGCGTCTCCTGAACTAGATTCCTCTGCACAAGTGAGTCTTGGCAAAAGATCATTAAATCCAGAATCCTTCACAGCTTCGGTAAGATTCACAGCCTACATTATAAATCAAGTAGCAGAATATCATAATAATAAACACCAGTGCTTTTGCTCAATCTAAAATTTTGATTTAATTAGAATTCGACAAACTTACCCCATCAAAAGGTTGAACTGCATTATCTTCAATGCCATGCAAGTAATCTGGAAGCCAGATTTTAAAGATCTCACAAGTCATTTCATGAAAATTGGAATCAAAAGAGAAAATATTTTATGATAGTGAAAGGCTCTATAAATAGTTTAATCAAGTACCCGAGTATGCAAGATCCTTAAATATCAATAGACTCCGAGGCATCAGCAAAAGAGAAAAGCTATTGTGGCTGTTCAATGGTACTGTGGATTGTTCAGAATTTTGTGGAATAGCTTCAGATTCAGCTGTACCACCGCATTCAGATAATTTTAGATGAGGAGTGAAATTCATTACCACAGGTGACTTGAGAGACAAGATTGATGCAGCTGGAAAGTAAGCTGGTCCATCTTGATGAGGCTGCATGATAGCGGAAAAATAAGTCAATCTGAACTACTAATGCTTAAATAGTGCATTTTAGGCTTTCTTATAACTGACAAAATAACATATCAAAGCATCTAAAAAAATTGGTGGAAACAAATAAGATATACTTTCTAAAGTGACACTAAGGTTAATCAGGGGGGGTACATTAAGAGTCATTATGCTTAGTTTGTGGCTAACCCATCATTAACTCTGCAATTACTAACCTACCCCATGTATGCCCACTCGAAATCTCAAACTACCACCCACACAGGTTCACTGCCCTCTGATAGGCTCCGACAGCCAGCCCAACCACCCACTCCACCACCTGACCCACTACCCCAGTTCAACCACCAATTATGTTCTTTAACCTAGTGGAGTGTGTTTTATTTTGTTGCAAGTATTCAGGAGGCAGTCGTTGATATAGGAGTAGGCAGCCAACTTCCATTTACATCAACGGCAGTGGTGCTGGATAAGGTGAAGAGAAGTGAGTGGAAAGAGATGATGAAGGTTAGTACTTAGCTAGAGGTCTGTTGGGTAAGTCAGTAAAATGAATTAATGTTGTTTAGCCATTTAGAAGAGCAACTAGGGCACGTAATGGAATATGATTAGCCAAGGGTTCACGTTAGAAACTAAAAGTTTTTTGTTTCCACCATATGGAAATTTCTAAACTACAAGGCTACCTTACAGAATTTCCCTAGTATCTTTGAGACATAGAATCAACAGCATAAAAAACTTCTAAATTTTTGAAGTTTTAAGAATATGGTAGGGTATCAGGCAACAAAATATAGACAATTAGACACTACCCTCTTTCCTCCCCCTGATTAAAAAATATATATGAAAAAAGAAAAGAGGGGAAAAGGAAAGGGAACAGGACAAGAAAAGCAAGTTTCACATAGTTGAAAATGTCAAAAGATCTTCAAGGTAGTAAGAGGAGATGAAACATAAAAAATCAGCAGAAGAAAATATAGACTCAGGATTGAACCATTATGCCTTGATCAGGCTGGTATTCATTGATGAGAACATGATTAGGGGCGGCGGGAAAAATTCCAAGCTCTTCATGTATCCTTTGTGTTATCTTGGTCAGCCAAGGAGGCACTGTAAAAGTATACGAGCAGTCAAATTTTAGAAGGTCTAAAATAATTTCCAAAATTTAAATTTATACTACTAGAGGCTGGAGCAAGAGAAAGCAAAATTCATGCATTTTGTTCTAAAAACAAAATAATGGATCTTCACTCAATAACTAGGTGGGAAAAAAAAAAAAAACAAAAAAAAAAAAAAGAATCTTATCTCAATAACTAGGAGCAAGAGTTCTTTTTTTCCATTTTTTTTTTGTGTTTTGCAGCTTATGAAGGTCCAAAAGATGAATTTGGCCCAGGAGTTGGACCTTGAATATCATATGAATTGCAAGTAAAATGGTTCCAAACCCAAAATTGAAATGCATATGACTTACAGTCTTGACTAATAAGACCCTTCTCATGAACTACACCCCCTGTAGAAGAAGATCAACAAAACAGATTTAGCTACCATATTATGTTGTGCAAGAGCGCAAGTGTGCGTCATATGTGCAAGATGCTATCTTTCAGTACCCCAATTCTGTAACCTCCGATTTTTAAGTGTTTTCCACTTTGAAATAGGTGCTTGATAGATCTATGAACACAAGGAGATGGAAAAAGTTAGATGTGTACCCAATGTTAACCAAACATTATATTAAAAAGTAACAAAGAAAATGGAAATATTACATGATTTAAAAGCTGTGTTTGTTCAGAATCGTTAATGAATTCAGGGATGTATATCACTGTGGGAACAGAGCCAACTACAAAGCCATGCAACTTCTCATCCATTTCCATTACTGCTCATCCAGAAAAACACTAATACAATTAGTCTAAATAAAAGCCAATAACACAAAATAACATGAATATCTACAATGAAAACCAACAAGCCAAAGTAACTCTTGCAGTCCTCTTTATTATATTAATTGGCTGCCTACCTAATCCCCCTCCCTTTTCTGCTGCTGGCTAATCTGAAAAGGGTATTTTGCACTTGTACTGGTGTTTATCTCAGGGGTGGGGAGGACTTGATGTTCATAGTGTGGCAAAATACATAAGTAGCGAAAAAAAATAATGAAAGGGATAAGAGATGAGCTACAATTTTACAGATTTTACGCTACAATCAAGTAAAAGAAGCTCCTACAATAACTCTTTGAAAATGTCTAATAGGCTCAACTCATTGTTACACGAATACACCAAGTTATTGTCTTATAGGCTCAAGTTATTCTATCATGTAAAAAATAAACACCCAATGTAAAGCTTGAATTACCAAAATACCAACACCACAGCACTCTCTATACAAAAGTACAAGAAAACACCAATTGTGGGTTCTTCAATTACCTTAATTAAACAAGTAACCTATCATTACAATCACTCATGTTCAATTCTGACTGAAGAGGATTCAAAAAACTGTTCATTGTTATTTATCAATGATCCCAGGATAAATTACCAGTATTTTGAAGATGACCCAGCAGCCAAAATCACACATTTACCATAAACAGTGCATAAAAAAGCCATTAAAAAAATAAAAGATTGAAAATTTACTAATCTTTCAGTCAAGCAATTCATCAAACAGGTTGTATGTCAGAGTATAAAGAGTTCTAAACTTCTAATATCACCAAACTCGCAAATTTTTTGAAATTGTGGGAGTTTGCCACAAAATTAGAAAGGATACCATAAAAATGGGTTTGAATTCGCACAGTTGTTGCAAATTTATTTGTTAATTATAAGATGTTGGTACATTTGATGATTTCTTTTTAAATAAATTTCAAGTAAAGGAAGATTTTTGGAACTCACCAGGCTATCGAAGTAAGCAACGATGAATCTCCGTTAGCAATCGCACCGGAAAAAGTAAGGAGGTGTACAAGAAAATTGCCCAAGTAGAAAGTAGGAAATTACGTTTACCTTAAGATTTGTTTAGGGAGTTATGTTTTGTATATTTGGGAAAATCCAGTCTATCTAGTATGAAAAATGGGTTTTTATTTTTTTTAATTTGGGAGTTTGGGGTTCTTGAATGGATTTAACTAGATAGCTTGAATAAATTGGTTTATGGTTCTTGATTAAATCAATTTGAAGGTTTAGGATCATAATTGATTTTTAATTTATATGCTTGAACACGAGGCATGTTGACATGACACGTGAGCCTACACGCTCATCTTAATTATTTGTTTTGCCTCGACACGTGTAATCGTTAGACTGTCATGGAAAATATGTTGATCACATTTCTTGTCGGTCTTTTGCTATTCTAAAGATTTTGCTAATGCATTCTTGCCTTATAAAAAATAAATAAATTTATATTCATTTTATAAAGCATAGATAGTGCTTCCTTTACCCCTTTTTGTTTGTCCAATTTGAGCGAAGTCACTATTTTAATTTTTGGTTAGAAAGAGATGTTCAAGGTTATCTTAACAATTTGCAATACAAATTAAGTTCACTATAGTAGTTGTAAGACTCCTTGGAAAAAAAAAAAAAAAAAACTTAGGACAAACATTAAGAGACAAAGAGTAATCAGTACTTTCACCATCTTCAAACATAGGTCACTTAATTCTTCATTACAGATTATCTTATTTTTTATGTCCATCTCTAAATCTCTTATACATTTTTTTTTGGACAGGAAATATCTTATACATTTAACTCCCATGTCTTCTATTTATATAAAACACAAATGGGACTTTTACTTTAAGACACTTTTAAAGTCCTTGGCACTCTTTCAAAATGATCACGTCTCGGAAGAATACAAGAACATATTCAATTTTGAAATTACAATTTCCTTGTTTAATAATACTCCGTATAATTCTTAGCTCAACGAAAATCAACACGAATATATATTACAAGTATATAAAAAATCATAAAATTGTATAGATACCTTATTGGTACATGTTTAGCTGATGTGCTTCCTTTCATCATACTTCTAAATAACACTACTATTTACACATTATTATGGCCCGAAAATATAAACCATGTTTGACCATCTAATCTCTTATGGCTTTACAACCTACACAATTAAGAACTAAACAATTGAAACAATTAAGGATCAAGCTTTTGAACTAAAAAGAAAAGGCAGAGCACCCTGTACAAACCAAACTAAGGAAGAATTAGATAATAAGTTAGACACAGGCACAAGGCTATTTATGGTCGTATCAGCATATACTCTAGATTCACTTCTAAGCACATTCAATCCGGAATACGACTTCAATTCCACTTGTAAGCATCTTTTATCATTAACCTTCAATAATCCCTAGATAATAAGTTAGCCTAGCAATTAGCTTTCTTGACACTGGAGATTTGACTTTTCCAAGGTTCACCCTGTCATATACATCCTCTGGTGGGTTGAGTGCAATTGATTAAATAACCTTATGTTTATCAGGGCCTATACGGCGGCACCTGACTTCCATCTGAACAACAAACAAAATGAAGAAATTACAACAAATGAGTGGCAGAAGCTTATGAATACATGACAAATTTAAATCAAAGGCTGTGAACTAATATCAAAGATATGGTATAAAAGCTCAGGATTATACCAAAATATCCAGGTGCAGGAATACTGCCAGAGCTGATTCCAACAGTAGGCCAAAACTGTCTGGGTGCAGGAGGTCCATCAGGATAGCTTCCAGCAGTAGGCCTAAACTGTCCAGGTATACTGCCAGGGCCAATTCCAGCAGTAGGTCTATATTGTCCAGGTGTACTGCCAGGCCCGATACAAGCAGAAGGCCACTGTCCAGGTGTAGGAGTACTGCCAAGGCCGATTCCTCCAGCAGGTCTAAATTGTACAGGTGCATGAGTATCACCAGGGTCGAAACCAACATAAGGTCTAAACTGTCCAGGTGCAGCGGTACTCCGATTCCAGAAGTAGGTCTAAACTGTGGTACAGGAGTACCACTGGGGCAAATTCCACCAGTAGGTTTAAACTCACCTGTTCCCCAATAGGGAGTGACACCATAGCTGCCACCACTAGGGCCACCAAAATGGGCACTTGGCCCATTTACAGTAGGCATTTGTCCAGGATGCAATGCAGTGAGTCCATTGGGTCCATCATGGGCTACATGTCCAAATGTATAAGGTCTATGTTGCCCCGATGGTTGCAGACTTGGCAGTGGTGGATTCATGGATGTTATGGGATAATTGGGTGGTGGATTAGGAGACTCGAGAGTTTGTGGTCTAAGGTGCTTTGCTTGTTGTGGCAACACTGAGGAAGAGGAGGGGATGGAAAAGTACTTCTCACCACACGACTCTGCTACAATTTCAGAAAAGGCTGGGGAGAGAATTTTTTCGGCCTTTTTTACCGACTGAGTTGAATTGTTTTCTACTATATTCTTTTCAATATTTGCAGAAAAGGTATTTTTAAGATCCTCTTTTCTTTCATTAGCTAACTTTTGTTCAGCTCCTGCAGTGGTAGTCTTCAATTGTACATCAATGCCACCAGGGCAGATTCCGGCAGTAGGTGTGATTTGCTGAGTCTCCCTATAGGGAGTGGGAGTGGCACTAGCACCATAACTATTGTCAGGGAAACCAGATTGGGTACTTGACACATATACAGCAGGCAATGTAACAGGATGTGACACGGGGAGTTCATCAGGCTTAACATGGGCTTGATGTCCAGATGTACAAGGCCCAGGTTGTGGCCACTGTCTATTAGGAAGAACAGGAGATTCAAAAGCCCCTGCTTTGAGGCGCTTTTCTTGTGGCAGCACAAAGGAAGGGGAGGGGCTGGAAGTGCGCTTCTTCCCACTAAACAATTCTGATGAAGTGTCAGCAGTGTCAGCAGGATGCAAAAGATTCATTTTTCCCTTCTTTCTGAGCTTAGTTGAACCAATTTTTACCATATCCACTTCCAAATTTACGGAAATGTCATCTTTTAACCCTTCTTCCGTAGTTACCATCTGTTCCACTTCAGTGGTGGAAGTATTCAGTTCTGCAATCTGCTTTTCCAGCTCTTCAATTCGCAATTCAAGGGAAACATCTGTGAATTCTGACTCAAGCGCAAAATCATTGATGTATTTCAGTACATCTTGCAGGTGACGCATCTCAAAGCGAGCAGATTCAATCTGCAAACATATTACTATGAATATACTTAATTTGAAAAGAACAAAACATCTGGGAGACAATACAAACTCCAAGAAAAACATCACCCTGCGAGGAAGGGAGGGGTTGAAAAACAAAATCAGAATTATAATGGGCAATCTAACATGTACAAGCAACAAAAACAATACCATGGATGTTGGCATGAAACTTTCTTCACAAAAATAAAATATCATTACCATTAGACCCATTAATTACCCCAAATGGACCATTCTCTTAGTTCTATATTAGTATTTGGCATTTTCCTTGTTCCTCCTTGAAACACATGCACACATCTCCATCTATACATAGTACACAAGTATTAACTAACAATACTATTAAGAGCACAGATCAGATAATCTGTAAGGAGATCATACACAAAGAGAACAACTTTTTATTCTTTTTACTAATTTAATTCCCCTTGTCTCATTCCCTAATTAAATAGTCCCCTACCAATCTCACTTAACATCACATAGAGTGACATATGACATGACCATGCCATCCAAGATTTCTAGTCTTCTTATACTCTCATTGACTAATTCTATAACATAGGACATACCACAGCTTAGCAGGTGTATCTGAACCTTTAATGCGGTTTGATCATCTTCAACAAGATATTTGAATTCTAAAAACTCTCCCTTTGTTATCTCAGGCCCATAAGCTTGACATCCTTGTCAAGCCCTACCTCTACCACACCACCATTGAATTTCAATCCGAACACCATTGTTGAATAAAAAAACAGATGAAGAAGAAGAATATCAAATCCAACATCATCAATTTCATCTAGAATAAAGAAGAGACTACACCAAAGTTAGACTTCCCCTCATATATCTCCCCAAGTAGATTCAGATAATTATTGAAATGAAGGCTCTTTTCATACATCTCTCTTTTTTGGGGGCTTTTTTTATTCTATGCCCTCAACAGCAATTTAGCAATAGTTCAAGCTTTTACTTGAGTCATTGATAAGTGTGGTAGGGGCAAAGGATACTTCAGCACTGGTACAGTGTTCGAACATTGTCTCTCTCTCTCTAAAAAATGCACAATGCAATAAGACGATTGGTTATCCAAAACAAGCCTGAGACTTTTTCATATTTGGCAATTAATTAGCCATGGTTGAAAATCAAAGAGGTGTTAGAGGATCAAATCAACCTCTCATGATTGATAGCAAGTTTGTATACTGTGTGCCGTGTCAGATCCGATTGAAAAGTGAAATGGCCCCTAGAGCACAATTGTAAGCATTATACAAAGGGGCATGAGAATTACCTTTGCTGCATGAGAATTGTTTCTTTCCTTCCGGAACTTCACTGATTTTTCCTTGGTGAACTTAAGGTGATCTTTTAGAAGGGGAGCTAGCGGGAAATAAGATTCCATCATAAAAGTACAGATGTACTTGACTGCCTGAAGTCGTCGGTCCTCCTTGACAAGAGATTTGATAAGGCCTGTTCAAAGTAATCCAAGAAAGAACAGCTTACAGCAAAATTACCTTAGGATAGTAGCAGAAAACAACTAGTGTAAAGGATCAACTATCCCAAATTAAGCAAACTTTATGAAAGAAACAGATAAATAAGGTAATCAACTAGAACATCAACAAAATATCACTCAATCCTTGAGATGCTTTATGTGAAAAGTGAGGAGGAGAGGCCCACAAGAGAGTCAGCACAAACAATAGGATTTTGGAGAAAAGGAGGGGGGGGGAGGAATAGAATTTTTAACACCCAAACCTCCACATAGAAAAACGTATACATAGAGCAAATGAGGCACTTAGAGTTAAAGATAACTATATGATAGTATAATATGACAATTTTACCAAAGACCCAAATTAGAAATTCCACCTCTATCTAATAGCAATGTTTTTTTTTTTTTTTTATATATATTTTTTATTTGAGGAATTTAATAGCAAGGCATTATCACAACCATGAATTGAACAGCCAAAACCATACGTGGCATGTCCTATTATACACTTCCCCAAAATCATACTCACTTTCCACCCTTAGCCCTTTTTTATTCACCATTAACAATTTCTCTATTAATTTAAAGTTTAAACCTCTATTGTCACATATCGTGCAATATCACATTGGAGGGAAAACACAATATTAAACAGGAGAGTGGAAACGCAGTAGATTTGTGAGAATAGAGGGTTAAAATAAGAGGAAAAGTCTTGCAGAAACAAAAGGCTCATAGGCTGAAAGGAAGTGGGCATGTGATGATGACAATTAACGTAGAGATGGAAAGCTAATCCTTTCCCCTTTATATCTCATAAATCGACAAAATTAAATTGCTAGATGTGTAAAACGCATTTTCATTATATATGCACCCTTCAGCAAGAGACAAGCTGACAATGTAGAGGAAAAAAACTAGGTAAATATTGTTCTATTAGACATATAAGAAACACTCAATATATAGTTAAACAAGATGATTCATGTGAAATTAAGGAATCATTCTCTAGTAACTAGAGCTCTAGAAGTCTTTTTATGTGTCCCAATAGAGGAGAAATACCTGAAATTCTTTTTTCCAATCCCAGTGTACGGCACAAGTATGGATTTTGCTCAGGCCGGAAGACCAAGTGCCCACCATAACATTTTTTGAATAGTCGAAAAAGTTCATCTTCATTAAATAAACTGGCTATCTCGTATGTGGCTAGAAATTGCAGAAAGCCATAAACTTCCAAAAGTTTATACCCTTTCTTAGCCAAAGTTTGTTTCCATATATAAGCAAACTGTTTTGCTTGCTTTCTCAAACCAAGTGTAAATTTTGATGGTGGTTTCACCAACTGCTCTACCTGACCAAGGGAATTGATACTAGGTTGTTGCTTTAGTAGTTTCATCAACTGCTCTAACAAAAATATGCAATTAGCTTTCTCAACTGGTGTTGCCTTCGGTTGGTTGAAAATTTGAACTACATTAAGAAGTAGTTTTGCTGGGTCTGGTGCATATCGAAGTGCACCTAGAATCTTTTCTGGAGAAATAATTTGCTCTATCAGATGTTCTCTTATATATAATCTTAGACCCTTGGCATCCATACGATGGCACAACGAGTGGATCACACTGCAATGATTTATGGAAGATGAAGCAACTGTATCAGTCCCTTGCAATTTATCTGTCTGCTGTTGTCCAGTCGTTAATTCAAGGGGGGCAGTGGCCATATTGCTTCCTAGCCAAACAAATCATGTTGAAAAAACCATTAGCATAAGGTTTGGAAAAAGCATTTGAGAGATGAGAGGTCCAAATATAGAAAATGCACAAGACATTAAAAACTATACAGTACACCCAGATCAATACATAAATAAATACAATAAAAAAATAAACACCCACACACAATGATTTGTTACTTAAAACAAAAAGTCAACATAGAGGTAAAAGTATATATCATTCAAATCCAGTTTGACTAAATCATCCTAGAAGCCTAGGTATCAACATTTCAATAGACCTTGCACATTTCAAGACAGAAACATTAGTGCTTTTATCTAATATCACAGCAAGACCATGACAAATTCACATGGGGTCGCTTGGTTCACTGTAGTGAAAATCAACATTGTGGAAATACCAGGGACGACTCCAAAGGTATGGAATCAAAACCCCACACCAATCTAATACTATGTAGTTCACTCTATGAATGGATTCTTACTCTATATCCATCTTTAATGTTTTATTGCATATATATATTATAGCTACCCATTTTAACTTTCTCAGCTATGAGCTATATGCACCTGTTTTAATTTTTTTTTTCTTTTTATAAAAAAAATACCGAGATACAAAAGCATCAAGCATAAGCAATTAAGCACCATGATAAATTAGTACTATATCTGATAAACATATTGGATTATGAAGCATGCCATTAGTTAGTGCATTGCATGATAATAATAATAATAATAATAATAATAATAATAATAATAATAATAATAATAATAATAATAATAATAATAATAATAATAATAATAATAATAATAATAATAATAATAATAATAATAATAATAAAAAATAAAAAAAAGGGATAATCAAAATATTCCAAATTTCAAAAGATGCATTAAGAACAACCCAAACATTGATTCATATTAATATAATCTAACACAAGCAGTATGCTTAGATGCATCGAAACAAAAGATGACAAAAGTCATGGGTCCTTCCTACTCACACTAACATTCATTTCCATACTAATATTCGGTGATATTAGAAATAGGAGACAATAAAGCAGAACATATGTCCAACCTCAGCTATAATGTCATGAAATTACTTAGTGCTTTAATCACATGCCTTTTTGACAAATACTTTGTCATTAAGGTTTAACAAGGTTAACACATATTTTCTTTATGATTTAACGAGGTCCAAAACTAACTGTCGTGACATCCTCACAAGAGATGCTAAGACAGTAACAACATTGCTGCAATTTCCAAGGAAAACTAAATTCATGTATCTAATTATCTCAGGCCTAAAAGTTCATTTTATGCGTCAGTTTACAAAAACAACATCATCATAAATCCACAGGTATTATAATACTAGTGAAACCTGATCTAACAACAAGCTTGAGCAACCTCAATATTTCTAGCTCCAATAAGAAGATATAAACACATGGGTAATCAGCTGATACTCTGTACACTAACAGGGTTGATCAGGCCTCCCCCCCCCCCCCCCCCCCCCACAAACCTAAATAAATATTCTCTCTTTACTTTCACCTATTTTTGTTCATGTTGACTTTTAAACTACCCACACACCCCCTCTATGAGCGCTTTTATTTATTTATGTAATGTATGAAAACAAGTGTTATTTTTGTTCATGTTGACTTTTAAACTACCCACACACCCCCTCTATGAGCGCTTTTATTTATTTATGTAATGTATGAAAACAAGTGTTATTTTGTAATATGGTATTGGATGTATCAATGTATATCATCAATATATCAACTTTTAATAATTCCTACTAATATATAATAATAATAAAAAAAAATTGGTCAAAACCATGCATTAGAAAATGTAAAGAGATGAACAATTAGGAATCAATAGAGGAAGTAAGAAAATAGACAAAACTCAAAGTGTGCTGAAAGGCTTTGGGAGTTGGGACCGTAATTGTTATAGTAATAGGTGATATAGATCCTGTGGCATAGCAATGGAACAATAAAGTAAGGCATAGGCAGCATCAAAACCAAAGGTGGGGTTACCATAATATGCTACCAGCTAGTAGTTTGCTTGTTCTTGTCACTAGTCAATGGATAAAGAAAAGGTCACAGGCCTAGTTGTTCAGAAAGATTTGTTTAAAGAGACAGGGTAAAGCCTACTTTGACTCTCAATTAGGTTTAATTCAACCAATTTTCTAGTAAATCCACAATCTGTTATTCATAGTAGGTACTTCCGGAGAGCGTCTTTCAAATAAATCTTTGAACACATAATTTAAACTAATTGGTTAGCCGATATTGAACATCAGAATGCAAAAGGCTAGCAGGACATAAAATCACAGCCACCTTAACACATGTATTGCACAAAATAAAACTATAAAGAATGGGCCTCAAAAGCATTGTATGGTGACAAATGAGAAGTTCACCTTCATTCGCTTTGAACAAGTCCAGTTCCTGATGCAACCGAGGTGCTATCCTATCCTGATCTACTATCTCATAAAGCCTCTGCAATTCATCCTTGTCAACAATTGAACTCAAGCCATATGCAACTATTAACAGTAAGAAGCTTAGCACCACGATACGACTCTCTCCATCTTCTCTCATTTTCTCTTTCCAAAGAAAAAAAACCTTCTTGGCGTTTTTCTTCAAACCTTCATCAACTTTATGTTTTAAAATCATCAATTGCTCCAACAGTAGCACACAGCTACTCCTAACAGCACTTGTTTCATACATCACATCACCATTCTTCAAATGTGGTGAGAAAAACCCAACACAAGCTGCTAATACCAACCTGCCTGGTTCCGAAGATAACCTGAGAGCATCCCTAATCTCTTCTTCCATGAACCTGTGTTCATCGACTCGATCATTCAAAAACATCTGCAAGGCTTTCCCATCTGTCACACATTGCTTAAGAGTAAGACTCTGCAATCCTTCACCAAATCCCAAACTACTGTTTTGTTCAGATTTCTTCTTCATGCCACTGGTTTCACTCAATTGCTCCCTTTTCAATTCCAATTTCGTGCAAGGGTCATTAATTTCATTCTTCTTGCACTCCTGCTCCTGAAAACACTTGCTAATTTTCTTCCCTTTTAACACCAAGGCTTTAATATGCACATCCCTTTGTCTCTCTCCCAACTCCTCTGCCTTGGCGTGCCTACTAATTTCCTTCTCTTTCACTTCCAGTGCTTGAGACTGCTCGTAAATCTTCTTTTCTTTCAAATCTAATGCTTTGCTACGATCACTAATTAACTTCTCTCTCAAAGATAACTCTTCACAGCGCTTGTTTATATGCTCCACTTTCGAATCCAAAGATATTAAACTCTCATGAATATGCTTTTCCTTCAATTCTAGCTCTCCACATTTCTCACTAATTTGTTTATCTTTCAATTTTATCTCTTCAGTATGCTCTATCATTCGCTTCTCTTTCAATTCAAGCTCCTCACAAGCCTCTTCTGTCTGCTTGTATTTCAATTCGATTTGATTCTCTTTCAATTCTAGCTCTCTCAGACGCCCATCTATATGTTTCTCTTTCAATTGCAACCATTTAGACCGCTTATTCAATTGCTTGTCTCTCAACTCTTGTCCCTAGCACTGCTCATCAATCTCCCTCTCCCTTAATTCAACCACTTTGCAACTTTCATCAATCGCCTTCTCCTTCAAGGGCTTCAACTCCACCACACTACACCGCTCATCAATTTCCTTTTCCTTCAACTCCAACTCTCCCAAACGCTCATCTATATGCTTCTCTTTCAACTCCAATCCTTTACAACGCTCATTCAATTGCTGATCCCTCAACTCTTGTGCCTTACAATGCTGATTGATTTCCACCTCCCTCAATTCAACCACACTACACCGCTCACCAATTTTCTTTTCCTTCAACTCCAACTCTCCCAAACGATCATCTATACGTTTCTCTTTCAACTGCAACCCTTTACACTGCTTATTCAATTGCTTCTCTCTCAACTCTTGTCCCTTGCACCGCTCATCAATCTCCCTCTCCCTAGATTCAACTACTTTACAACGTTCATCAATCACCTTCTCCTTCAACTCCGCCACACTACACCTCTCATCAATTTCCTTTTCCTTCAACTTTAACCTTTCCAAACACTCATCTATATGCTTCTCCTTCAACTCCGCCACACTACACCTCTCATCAATCGCCTTCTCCTTCAACTCCGCCACACAACACCTCTCATCAATTTCCTTTTCCTTCAACTTTAACTTTTCCAAACACTCATCTATATGCTTCTCTATCACCTCCAATTCTTCCCTACGCTCCTTCAATTGTTTATCCCTCAACTCTTGTACCTTACAACACTGATTAATTTTCGCCTCCCTCAATTCAACCACACTACAACGCTCACCAATTTTCTTTTCCTTCAACTCCAACTCTCCCAAACGCTCATCTATACGCTTCTCTTTCAACTCCAACTCTTTACATTGCTCATTCAATTGTTTATCCCTCAACTCTTGTGCCTTACAATGCTGCTCGATTTCCGCCTCCCTCAATTCAACCACATTGCACTTCTCATCAATCTCCTTCTCTTTCAACTCCAACCCTTTACCCTGCTCACTCAATTCCTTATCCCTCAACTCCTGCACCCTACAAAGCTCATCAATTTCCTTCTCCCTCAATCCAACCTCTTCAAAACGCTCATCAATTCGCTTCTCCTTCACCACCATCTCCTCCTCCCTCAACTCCGCCACCCGATTTCGCTCCTCAACCTCCTTCTCCCTCCTCTCTACCTCAATACACCTCTTATTAATCCCATTCTCTCCCACCTCCACCGCCTCGCTTCGCTTATCAATCTCCTTCTCCCTCACCTCCACCGCCCGCCACCGCTCCTCCACCCTCTTTTCCCCACACCCTTCCCTCCTCTCTCTCACCTCAACCTCCCTCTCTCTCTTCTCCACCGCAACAGTCCGCTCCTCGATTCGCCTCTCTTTCGCCTCCGCTGCCTTAAACCACTCCTTAACCCGCTTCTTCTCCAACTCCAACACCTGAACTCGCTCCGAATAATCCCTCTCTCTCATCTACAACGCAACACACCCCTCACTCAATGAATTCTCATCAAATTCCAGCTTTTTCTGCCGCAATTGAACCTCTTTCTCCCGATTATCCAATACAATTCGCAGCGAATTTGTTTCTCTCTCCTTCACCTCAAGCTCCCTAATATGGTTTCCCAGAGAATGCTGAACTGACACAAAAAGAGTTCTGGAAAGTTCCCCATTGATCCGAAAGCGCCATAACTGAGTAAACGTGAGATTGAATTGATTGGAAAGTGTCAGTGAGTTGATGAAGAACTGCTCTCGATTTTTTTAGGTCTGCTGATGTTTGCTGCAATGTTACTGCCGCCATTGTTGCTGCTTGATTACTGTTAAACCTTGGAATTATAGTTGCTGAAGTTGCTAAAACCCTAGAAATTTGGTTTCAATTTCATGCATTCGCCGGAAATTGAATTACGATTATGCTAACCGTCGCTCGTAGCTTTTTTTTCATGATCAATTTATTATATATTTATTTTATGATCGATTATTGATTTGATAGATTTTTCAGTTTCAGCAGCAATTATTGATTTATCGTAGAGTACATAGTAATAACAATAATTTTTGTATGAGTCAAAAAAAAAAAAATTAAATTTTGTAAAATATAAATAAATAAAAAGAAGAAAAGGCCTTTGGGCCTAAAGTAATAGAGCCCACTTTATACTGCCTAGTTGTAGGGGTGCTCATTAAATCCGGAAAAATCAAAACCCGGCCCGAATTGAAAAACCGAACCAAACCGAAATAATATGGTTAGGTTTATTCTCTTCGTTTTATTTTTACCGAATTTAAATTATTTTGGAGAAATTACAAAAAATAATACAACCTTTGGCCCGTTCTTTTTTATAATACGACCTTTGGATTATACATTAATATTACAACATTTGGGGTGTTCATTTTAAACAGGCAAAAACCGGTTGGTAACCTGTAAAATTACAGGTTACCAACCGGTTTTTGCCTGTTTAAAATAAACACCCCAAAGGTTGTAATATTAATTATCGTATAATTCAAAAGTTGTATTATTAAAAAAGAACGGGCCAAAGGTTGTACTACTTTCATTTCAAGTTAGTTGCAACTTTGAGCTTAACACGGATTTTAAGACAAAATTTCATAATGGTTGATTATGAATTAGAGAATAGTAAATTAAGGGTAGGAGAGAGAAAGAGAAGGCATTTAATAAAAAGGAAAAAAAATTGAAAGTTGCAACTAATGTGTAGCAACCCTTTTTGACAAAAGTTGCAACTAATATGTAACGGATGTAGTATTATTTTTTGCAATTTTTTCCAATTATTTTTCTGAACTTAAATTAAGGGTATTTTGATTTTTACCACCTTTAAATAACCAAATAATTGAATTTACCACCTCCAAAAAAAAAAAGATTTACTTTACCACCACCAAAATTTCCAAAAAATCGATTTTACCACCAACTACCAGATTCCGTCCATGAATCCGTTAGTAGGGCCCACATTTTTGACGTTTCTTCTTCATCTTCCCCGATCTTCCATGTCAACCAACCAGCAACGAAATCAACTACCTCGGTTGGTCGGAATTTCGTGTGGGTTTCGCGTCTGGGTGGTGGTGGTTTCGAGTCGCGATGGTTTCGCGTTTGGCTGGCGTGGTTTCTGGTGGGTGGTGGTGGTTTTGAGTCGGGGTGGTTTCGCTTCTGGGTGGCGGTTGTTTCTGGTCGTGAAACGCTAAACATCGCCCGCCGCCACGGTGGCGGCGCCTGGCCAAGACGCCACCGCCACGGTGGCGGCGCCTGGGCAAGACGCCGTAGCCACGGTGGCGGCGTCCACTGAAGACGCCGCCACCGTGGCTACGGCGTCTTGCCCAGGCGCCGCCACCGTGGCGGTGGCGTCCTGGCCAGGCGCCAGTAGCCTTTTTTTTTTTTTCAAATTTTTTTTAATTTTTTTTTTCAAATTTTTTATTTTTTATTTTGTTTTTTTTTATTTATTTTTTTAAAACTTAACCAATAATATGGCGACACGTGTGCAAGGTAGGCCCCACTAACGGATTTTTGGACGGAATCCGTTAGTTGGAGGTGATTGGTGGTAAAACTGATGTTTAATTTTTTTATGAGGTGGTAAAGTAAATCTTTTTTTTTTGGAGGTGGTAAATTCAATTATTTGGTTATTTGAAGGTGGTAAAAATCAAAATAACCGGTTGGTAACCTGTAAAATTACAGGTTACCAACCGGTTTTTGCCTGTTTAAAATAAACACCCCAAAGGTTGTAATATTAATTATCGTATAATTCAAAAGTTGTATTATTAAAAAAGAACGGGCCAAAGGTTGTACTACTTTCATTTCAAGTTAGTTGCAACTTTGAGCTTAACACGGATTTTAAGACAAAATTTCATAATGGTTGATTATGAATTAGAGAATAGTAAATTAAGGGTAGGAGAGAGAAAGAGAAGGCATTTAATAAAAAGGAAAAAAAATTGAAAGTTGCAACTAATGTGTAGCAACCCTTTTTGACAAAAGTTGCAACTAATATGTAACGGATGTAGTATTATTTTTTGCAATTTTTTCCAATTATTTTTCTGAACTTAAATTAATTATACTAATTTGAATTTATTTAAATTCTCTATTGTATTTGTTCTTTAAATTACTAGTGTTTTTGATTAAAAAAAAGAAAATTATTTTTACTGAACTAAACTTATTTTTGCTAAACTGAACTTATTTATACTAAATATTAAGGTGAAGAGAATGTAGCCTCAGAGTCGGATTTTTGAAACATATAAAACCTGAACCGGCTGAAAATTTATTAATTCACCCAAGTTTTTCTTATTTCCCTTTTCATTTCACTTTTCAACCTTTGACCTACAATCTTTTTGTTTTTTTTTAAAGATGTTATTTTCAATTGTATTACTATCAAGGATTTAAGATAATACAAGTTAAATGTTTTAAGGCCTTTTTATTTTAGAATATTTTTCTAATTTAATTATTATTTTTTTTATTTTTTTGTTTTGTGGCTTAATTTAGAAATTTGCAGACTGAAAAACCTGATACCTAAATTAGCAAGTACTGCAATTTTAGATACAGTTACTTGAAATAACACCTCTATCGATTGTATAAACAAACAAGTCAATAACCTTGTTTTGGTATTGAGCATCTTGGGCCTAAATGTAAGGGTTTTAAACTAAATCTAAACTAAGGTTATGTTTTATTCGGCTTATTTTGTCAATATATTCATACTACTACTTCTGTGTTTTTTCTATTTTATCTATATTTCTCATGTTAAGATAGTAGACAATATCGTTGCCCATCTCGTATCTCGATGGGATACAAACGGTTGTGAAGAGAACAGGATCTTATACATTGAAATTATAAGCTGAATAATTTTATTTTTTTTTACCTAAATCTTCAAATGTAAACTAGGTATGTAACCAAACTTCTTCAAATGTCGTGTATTGTGTAACAATAAGTTTTCACTAAAGACTAAATTTATGCCTAATCTAAAATGTACACCTTCAGATTTTCATGCTAACTAAAACAATTATAGACATGTGTGAAGATCATAGATTCATAGACACAATTATTTTCTGTTGCAGAAATACACAGATCAGAGCGAGCATCAAATTTACCATCTATGTTCATCAAAACAAAGCTCGAACAGGCCAGTTTAAGGCGCTACTTGGTGTTGTGATTGTTCCCACTCGATGCTTTTAAACTGTTTTGGACTTGCTACAGAATCACAGGAGCTTGCACTGCGTTTATTATTCTGTTTTTCTGAAGCAACCTTCCTAAATTCTTTCTTCTTTAACAATTTTTTGATGCGCGATAAAAGGGAATCAGGTGGGATTTTCGACTCGAGCTTAAAAGTTGCAATGCAGCTAGTAACATCTCCAAGAACGGTTAACTCCATGTTTTCAGCTTCATACTGTAAACAAAAGGCCAAAATTATATGATAAACGTCTATAAAAACCTGAAACACCAAACAAAATACGAGTACCAAATATATATAGCTAGATCCTGACCAGTGAGCAGGCCAAAAAAAGAGTTTTTACATAATTCAAAGCATCAACTATGTTATGTTACATTCTGAAACATTAGACAGTAGAAAAGAAAAGGAAATGCAGGACACACAGAGACTTTAGAATATCATTTCGACTAATGCTGCAAGAAAGTGATGTAAGAAGCAAAAGTTACTAAACTAAATGAGGTTCTACTAGAATGCAAGTCAGATATACATGTTTGGTGCATGCCCCAAGCCCTTAATCAGGCAACAATTATGACAGAAACAGAATAGCAATGAAAAATTTAACAAATGATGCAATAACATGAACTCTGATCTAATTGTCCTCTTATTCTTTAAGTATATAAAATATGGTGTAATCATGACTTAGTCCCATCACATATGCCATAATGTATTGATAGAATCGTGCAAAAAATTTACCTCAAATTTAAAAGCTCCCTCTTTCCGTTTCTCATTCACTCTTTTACGAGACATGTCCAAGTAACATTCAAGTAGAGGCACTGGCGGAAATAGATGTTCCAGCTTAAAAACACAGATGCACTTGACTGCTGTAAGCAACTTATTTCTTTCAATATAAGAATGGATTAATCCTGTTCAATTTAAAAGGGAAAAAAAGGTGAACTGTAAGAATATGTATTTAGGTAAATACTTATTTGTATAGAACAACAAATAAGTACCATATATAGATGTACAGCAGTACAAGTAATGCTAATAGAAAGGGAAGCTAAGCCAAAACAGATTAAAAACATGTACTCGGACATTCAACTAGTAATCCTATATGAAATTATAGCCACACAATGAAAGGAACTCAACTTGTTATCCTACATGAAATCCACAGCCAAATAATGAAAGGAACGTTCTTAAAGATCGACTAGTAAGCTAAGCAGTATTAGTAAGTAGGCTGTAATATACTCCGTAAATTTTTTAAAGAGTGATTCATTTGAATTAAGAAACAAAGTACAGTAACAATCTAAATGCCTGCCTACTTCAGGATGAACAAATTCTACAAGTCAAATAGGATATGGACAAGCAACAACATAACATCTCACAATGATTCCTCCAGGACATCTACACTAATACCTCTGCTTTACAAATGGATCGAGACCAAGGCCGACATTCCTTAGTATAAAAAAGAGAGAGACATGCATGTTTTCTTAAGACTGAGCTGCAGCTGGATTGTACTACAGAAAAATTCAAAATGACAGAACTACAGCTTTAAGGAGGCCTTCTCTGGAGAGAAGCTATCACTGTAATTATATAGACTTTTTGATATCCTACCCTATATTTCTGATATACAAACATAGTATTCTTTTTCCATGCTTTCTAATGTCTTCATTCATCACATAATTAACCAACTGAAGACACGAAAAATGCTAAACAAAAAGACAGAACATAGTAAACATAGATCAATGTATGCTGCCTTAATTTGCAGAAGTGCAGGTGTTTACAAGCATTTTATTGTATCAAGTTAGCAACATACATGACACTCTGGTATTACTCTGTAGTTAAGAGCAAATTTGTATGCGAATCCATCAAATCAAATAATAATAATAATCTTATAAAGGCTTATTGCAAAAATCTTCCCCTGTTACTATTTTGATTCAAGTAGTACAAGTTATATGGAGGTTCTCACAAGTTAAATTCTTATTTCTAAGGAGTATCAATTAATGCTAGGTTCACTAAATTGAGTTCATGAGTTGTTAATTCTCAACAAAGCGTGGATGTCAACTAGATTAGCTTAGGTAATATAATGTGATACCAGGAATTAAATCCTGTTCATTCTATTATTTGCGCTTCAAAGAATACAAAATTCCCAACAAAGTAGAATTACAAATTGTCAATTTAGCAAGTTTATTTACATAGAAAATAATGAAGATACATACCTGGAATGTTATCCGAAAGCCCCAATGCACTGCATAAACCCGCTTGCTGCTCATGCCGATAAACCTTAGGTCCACCATACAATGAACCAAACATGGAAAGCAGATCATTTGCATCAAAACAATCTGCTAACTTGAATGCAGCTACAAACTGCAAAAACCCGAAATTATCTGTTGGAGTTTTGCCCTTGGCAGCCTTAAGAGTAATAGCTAAATCCCTTGCTTCCTCTTTAACATTATCCATAAATGGAGGTGATAGTTTCATCAACTGCTCCGACAGCAGTATGCAACTATCTTTATAAATTGTGGTCGTATCCTTATCTGAGAAATTTCGGTGGAACACTCGAGTGATTTGGATAACAAGCTTGCCGGGTCAGGAGAACATCTAAGAGCATCCAATATCTCCTCAGGTGATATACCATTCGCTTTCATATGATCCATTGAATAAAATTTGGCAAATAATGGATCACTATAAACGGAGTATGAACGAATTCGATCACTAACAATACTTGATAAGGAGGTATCTTTGAGCATGCTACTTGTTGTTGGATTTCTGAATCAGGTAATTCCTGCCTCACATTTGTCAAACTGCTGCTTTCTAAACAAATCAAACAAGAATATCAGTGTTAATTGAAGGTCCTATAAATAGAAAACGATACATTAATAGCAACAAAAGAAGTGAAAATGCTAAATTTTGTGGCAATCAGCTGTCTTAGTTTAGACGAAGCTATCTAATTAAGCTGGTTAATGCATAGGGGTGTTACACTCTTGTGACTAAATCCTGCTTATATTATATTTCCCCTGTTCTTCATGTTCATATTTTCACATTTGTAAATTTATAAAAAGTTGCTATCATAAAAAAATAATTTTAGACTGCTCTAACAAGATCTAACATTCTCATTTATATTTATAATTCACAAATGGTAGTCAAAGTGAAGTTTGTAAATAGCGCTAAAGTCAAATTGTTTTAAGAAAACGAAGTAGTAAATAGTAAAAGCTAAATTGCTCACCACTATGCTTCTCTTCGAACTCTTGTGCTTGACAACCAGAAAGTACGTGATGCTCATCTGGTTGCTCTTCCAATAACCCGCCTAGTTGATCATCGAGCTTATTCTCTTTTAACTCTAGGCCATTGTTGAACTCATTAATTTGACTATCATTCCTCACTATGACTTCTTTAGCCTGCATTGCAAGGAATTGCTCCTCAATTTCCTTTTCCTTCTACTCCATCAGTCTAGACCGCTCATCCATTTGCTTTCGTTCCAACTCCATAGCTTTTGCATCCTCCAACATTTTCTTCTCTTTACCCTCTAACAATCCACTTCGCTCATCAATCTCCTTTTGTTTCAACTCTATAGCTTTTGCACCCTCTAACATTTCCTTCTCTTTCGCCCCTAACACTTGACAACGCTCATCAATCTCCTTCTCTTTCAACCCTAACATCTTCTCTTTCGACATCAACAAACCACTTTTCTCACTATTCTCCTTTTCCTTACGCTCGAGTGCAAAGTACAACTCATCCATATCATTCTTTTCCTCTTCCAACTTCACCTCTTTCTTTTCCATTCCTTCTCCTTCACATCCAATGCCTCCCCTCACTCACTCATCACCTTCGCTCTCAAATCCATCTCTTCAAAACCGTCCTTAGCCACCCTCTCCCTCTCCTCCACCGCCTTCAACTTCTCCTTAACCCACTCGAAACCCTCAACATTCCGCTTCTCTCCCACCTCCGCCGCCTTACACCGCTCACCAAGCAACCTCTTCTCCAACTCCAAAGACTCCCTCCACTCTCTCACCTCCTTTTCTCTCAACCCAACAAATTCAATTCTCTCATTCAATAACTTCTACTCCAAGTCAAACTTCTTCTGCCTCAACTCAACCTCCTTTTGTTAATTCTGTAACCTATTCTTTGCCACATCACATTCTCTTTCCTTTGCCTCGACTTCCTTGACTCGCTCCTCGAACGAGTTGTGGATTTTAGTAAAAGAACCCTGGAGTGTCTGCCATTCGCCGAGTTTGTGCATCACTAAATGTGAAGACTTGAGGTCGTTTGAAGTTTGTGTTGGAAGTTCTTAATATAAAACAAGAGTGTTGGAAAAAAAAAAAAGAGAGACTCACAAATGAAAGGGAAAAAGTCCCACATTGGTTGGGGGGAGAGGTTTTGTCTAGTTTATATGTTGTAGTGTCTTAGCACTATTTAGTTGAGTAACTTGGAGGTGGGTGTTGTACCACATATGCGTGCACACACCGAGCCATGGGTCTTGGGGAATGCATTGCGCAGGCGTGGGTCCTTCTTATTTTTTTGGAGAAATTTTATTTCCTTTCTTTGTTGACAGAAAATTCCTTAACATTTATTCCGATTTTGACTGTTGAGATTTTCTGACTGTTGGGAATGTGTTCAGCGATTAATTCATTGATTATAGCTGGCCGTTACTCTCCTTGATTATTGCCCCATATTAATCGACTTAATCTGGACGCTTTTCTGGCCGAGCAGTTTCCTTCTTTTCTGCTAGCCATTTTCCCTTTGCTGCCTATTTATACTCGGTTTTCCTTCAGCCAAAATATACCACAATTCGTACCTCTCTCTCTTCTCTAAAATACTAAATACTGTTCTTTATTTTTATGGAGGGCGCCCCCATTACTCACAGTGAGAAACGTTTTTGTTTCTCACAGTGGCAGTTTCGTAAATAAAATGTACGACTGTAGTCACGGTGGTACATTTTATTTACGAAATGGATGATAAAATTGTACCACTTTAGTCACGGTGGTACATTTTATTTACGAAACTGCCATTGTGAGAAACAAAAACGTTTCTCACAGTGAGTAACAGAGATTTACTGATTTTTATGGGCAAGTATTCTGAATTCCAGTCGGGTTTGTGAGTGCACATAAACTCCGGCGTCGTGCTTATCCTGGAGGGCGACCGCTTCTTGTCTACTGCACCGGGAGGTAGCGCAGAATCGTCTTTTAGGTCAGTGGTTTGCCATGACACAGCTACTGTCAGTTTTGGTTCACGCATCAAGAGATAAGTAATTTCTGTTTTATTGCTTATAGTATAACAATCTAAAAGACGAGTATGGCTTCCAAATTTCTTATTCCTGATATGTCTAAGTTAGAACCTCTTGATGGCAAGAATTATAAACATTGGGCTGTTAGGATGCGTTTTTATTTGGAACAAATTGATGTTGCGTATGTGCTTGATGATATTGTTGAACTTGTTGATAAGGATGATTTGTCTGAAACTGATGTTAAGTTTTCTAAAGATGATAGAACATGTAAGGGCATGTTGCTACATTATATGTCAAATAATTTGTTGGATATTTATATGGGTTTTTATCATGCTAAAGATATTTGGGATACTTTAGAGAAAAAATATTGGACTGATGATAATGTTGGTACTGAACGTTATTGTGTTAGTAAGTGGTTGAGTTTTCAAGTTGCTGATGATAAGCCTATTATTGATCAGATTCATGCTTATGAGAATGTGTGTATTAATATGACTGCTAAAGGTCTGTCTTTTTATGATATTACCCTTGCTATTTTTTTGATTGAGAAACTCCCTCCCTCTTGGAAGGATTTTCGTAACGAATTGATGCACAAAAAGAAAGACCTAACCTTAGAGGAGCTTGTTGGGACACCTCAAAATTGAGGAGGAAAACCCGTATCAAAGACAAAGGCCATTCTGTTTTCCTTTCCTCTTCTTCTGCCAAAGCCAAACTTGTTGAACCCAAACCAAACAACCAGTCCAAAGCCAAATACAGTTCTCTTAAGCCTAAAGGGAAGGTTGAGAAGTACAAGTTTAAGGGTACTTGTTTTGAGTGTGGTTTAACTGGTCACAAGGCTAAGGATTGCAGAGTCAAGAAGAAGAATGGACAGAGTCAAGCGAATCTTATTGTTGTTGTTGTTTTAGAAGCTAACTTTCACTACTAGAAATAGGTCGTTTTCCGACGGAATCGTTCCGACGAACCTAAATTCCGCCGGAAACATCGAACTTTCCGACGAAATTAGGATCTGTCATAAACTTCCGTCGGAAAAGGTACATTACGACGGAAAATCCCTCGGAATTTTTACGACGGAAATTAATTCCCTCGTAACTATAGGCTTCTGACGGAATATTCCGTCGGAAAGTTAACTTTCCTACGGAATTAAAATATGTCGGAACTTTCCTACGGAATATTCCCTCGGAAATCCCAAATATTCCGACGGATTATTTTTCCGTCAGAAAATTCTGACGGAATATTCCGTCGGAAAGTTCTTATATAAAAAAAACCAACCCTTCATTATCTGATCTTTTCTTTTTCTCTTTCTCCTCTCCTCTCCTCTCCTTCTCTGACCTCCCTCCTTCTCCTTTCGTTTCTCTCTCCTACTTCTCCTTCTCCTTTCGTTTCTCTCTCCTCCTTCTCCTTCCCCTTTGTTTCTCTTTCCTCCTTCTCTCATATCTCCTTCTCCTTTCGTTTCTCTCTCCTCCTTCTCCTTCCCCTTCGTTTCTCACTCCTCCGCCTCAAGCTGTTGTTGTTTCCACCTCGCGACAGTGGGTTCTGCGTAACCAACACCACCGCCACCACGGTGTTTGATTTGATTATTTTCAAGGTTTTTTAGGCCAAATTCGACCATTAAAAGCCTAGATCTAAACTTTTCATGGCCGAATTTGGCCTTGTTAAACCGTTTTTGTGGTGAAATTCAAGCCCATTTCAATTTAAGGTATGTTTTATAATTTAATTTTCTGATTTTTTTTCTTCGTTTTTTTTTTTAAATTTTTGGGTTTTAAGTTGTTGTGTGTGCGTGTGTGATGTGTGGGCTGGTGGTAGGTGACGATTTGTGAAGGTGGTGGGTGGTTTCGTGGATTCTAGCATGGGTTAGAGTTGGTTACGGTTCTGGTTTCGGGTAGATTTGGGTGGTTTCGGGGTTTTTGGGGTAGTTTCGGGTGGTTTTGGGTGGTTTCGGGTTTGGGTGGGGAATGGTGGTTGAGGAGGGTGGGGAATGGTGGTTTCGGTGGAGGTTGGGAAGGGTGGGGAATGGTGGTTTTGGTGGTGGTTTGTAGATCTGGCGGCTAAGGTGGTGGGTCTAGTGGGTGGGGTCGGGTTTGGAGAGTATTTCAGGTTAGGTGGGTCTGGTGGGTGGGTTCAGGTTAGGGTGGTGGGAGGCGTGGGTGGGTTCAGTGGTAGCTGGTGGTGTGGGGAGGCGTGGGTGGGTCTGGGTTAGGAGGATCTGGGTGTGGGGAGGCGTGGGAGGATCTGGGCTGTTTTTTTTTTTTTATTATTGACTTTTCCGACGGAAAATTCCGTCGGAATATTCCGCTTCTGACGGAAAATTCTGTCGGAATATAACTCATACCTATTGACTTTTCCGACGAAAAATTCCGTTGGAATATTCCGCTTCCGACGGAAAATTCTGTCGGAATATAACTCATACCGACGGAAAATGTTCCGTCGGAACATTGCGACGGACTTCCTAATTAAGTCAAACTTGACTCCGACAGAAAAAAATCCATCGGAAATTCCGTCGGAATGGACCTTTCCCTCGGAATATCGCGAAGTTCCGACGGAATTTCCCTCGGAATATCGCGAAATACCTACAACATGTAATGCGACGGTGCCTTCCGAAGGAATTTCAAGGTTTTCCGAGGGATTTTTCCCGTCGTTGATTGACTATTTTCTAGTAGTGTTTACAAGTAATGTTGCTGAGTGGAGCAACCAGGCACATCTGCGCCAACAAGGACATGTTCACCACCAATGACAAGGTTGAAGGTGAAAATGTCTTCATGGGCAACTCAGCTTCTGCTTCTATCCAAGGCAAAGGGAAGATCGTTCTAACTCTCACATCTGGAAAATTGCTTAACCTCACTAATGTTTTGCATGTTCCAAAAATGCGCAGGAATTTAATTTCTGGCAGTTTTCTCATGAAAGCTAGACTGAAGCTCTCCTTTGATTCTGATAGATTACTTCTTACTCGCAATGGGGAATTTGTGGGGAAGGGCTTTTGTAATAGGGGGCTTAATTTTTATTCTTGATGTTAAAATTGACACTATGAATAAGAATGCTAGTACTTCTTCTACTTATATTGCTGAGTCTATTGATTTATGGCATGCTAGATTGGGTCACGTTAACATTAATTCGATTAAAAGGCTTAAACATTTAAATTTGATTCCACGTTTTTCTAACACTGATTTTTCGAAATGTCAAATTTGTGTTGAAGCCAAATTCACAAAGAAGCCATTTAAATCAGTAGATAGACAGACTGAAGTACTAGAACTTGTTCATAGTGACTTGGGTAATTTTAATAATCACGAGAGCAGAGGGGGTAAAAAGTATTACATTACCTTTGTTGATGATTGTTCACGTTTTTGCATGGTTTATCTTCTCAGGTCTAAGGACGAAGCTGAGGAAATGTTCCTCAAATATAAAGCTGAGGTAGAAAACCAATTGAACAAGAAGATTAAGTGGGTTAGGAGTGACAGGGGTGGTGAGTACAACCGTGACCCTCTTAAGGCATTTTGTGACAAACTCGGCATTGTACATGAGACGACAGCTCCCTATTCACTCGAACAAAACGGTATAGCTGAAACAAAAAATAGAACTTTAAAGAATATGATGAATTCTATGCTTATTAGTTCTAGGCTTCCTAATAACATGTGGGGGAGGCTATTTTTTCTGCTTGTCATGTTTTGAACAGGGTTCCTCATAAGAAGCTTGACAAGACTCCATACAAAATATGAAAAGGTCGAGTACCAAACCTAAAATACTTGAAAGTGTGGGGGTGCCTAGAAAAAGTAGGCATACCTAGTTTCAAGAAGGACATAATTGGTCCTAAAACGGTTGATGCTATTTTTGTTGGCTATACTTATCAAAGTGCAGCTTATCGTTTCTTTGTTAAAGGTACTAACAACTCTTATGCAGGTGGCCATATCAATGAGGCAAGAGATACATAATTCTTTGAGAACATTTTTCCTTGGAAAATGTCTCCCCTTAATGATAGTGAATTACCTGCTAGTAGTTATGTTAGTTTACCTATTGCTAATGCTCCTATTACTAACGATGATTATGTTTTGGAGCCAAGGAGAAGCAAAAGGGCATGAAAGGACAACAATTTTGGTCCTGATTTTATTACTTCCTTTTTATCTGAATCTTCCTTAATTGATGATAATTTTGTGCATATCTTTGTTTTGGAAGATGATCCAAGAACCTATGATGAGGCAATGAGCGAGGTCAGTTGATGCTGTTTTTTTTGGAAAGAAGCAATTGATAGTGAGTTGCAATCAATTCTCAATAATAACACTTGGAATTGGTTGAACTTCCTAGAGGTTGTAAGCCCATTACTTGTAAATGGATATTTAGGAAAAAATTGAAAGCCGATGGATCCATAGACAAGTATAAGGTAAGGATAGTGGTGAGGGGTTTTACTCAAAAGTTTGGCATTGATTATTTTGATACTTACTCCCCTGTCACTAAATTTGCAACCATTAGGACTTTAATTGCTCTTGCTTGCATTTTTTATCTTCTTGTTCACCAAATGGATGTCAAAATTGCATTTTTGAATGGTGACTTGGATGAGGAGATTTACATGGTCCAACCTGAAGGGTTCGTTGTCTTGGGCTAAGAGAACAAGGTTTGTAAGTTAGTTAAGTCATTGTATGGCTTAAGCAAGCTCCAAAGCAATGGCATGACAATTTCGATAAGACTATGACTGGTAATGGTTTTCATGTTAATGAAGGTGACTATTGTATTTATTCTAAGCATGATAGTCTTGGTTGTGTGATTATTTGTCTTTATGTGGATGACATGTTAATTTTTGGGACTGACTTGGATCGAGTAAAAGAGACAAAACAGTTTTAGAGTTCGAATCTTGAAGTGAAAGACATGGGTGAGGCAGATGTGATTTTAGGAGTAAAAATCAAAAGGACTCCAAATGGCATCTGTCTTAATCAATCACACTATGTTGAAAAGCTTCTTAAAAAGTTTGACTCATTTAATGTCGATCTAGTTAAGACTCCATATGGCCCGAGCTTCCACCTAAAGAAAAATAATGGTGATCCAGTTGATCAGTCTGAATATGCTAGAATTATTGGTAATGTTATGTTTCTTATGAACTACCCTAGACCTAAAATTGCTTATTCTGTTAGTAAGTTGAGCAGGTACACTCATAACCCAAGCAGTGATCATTGGATTGCTCTTAGGAGGTTGCTTAGGTACCTTAAGGGTACTATAGATTGGGGTTTGCACTACTCCAAATTTCCTGGAGTTTTGGAGGGTTTTTGTGATGCTAATTGGGTATCCGATAATGATGAAGTTAACTCCACCAGTGGCTATGTATTCACCCTTGGGGGTGGAGCCGTATCCTGGAAATTTTATAAGCAATCTTGTACTTCTATGTCTACTATGGAATCTGAGTTTATTGCTCTTGAATTGGCAGGTCACGAGGCAGAATGGTTGAGGAACATGCTTGCTGATATTCCACTGTGGGGAAAGCCAGCTCCTTCAGTTGCACTTCATTCTGATTCGCAAGCTGCAATTGCTGTTCCACACAATCATGCCTATAATGGGAAGAAGAGACACATTCGTCTGAGGCATAAGGCCGTCAGAACACTACAAGAAAACAGCTGAATTCCGACGGACTTTTTCCGTCGGAAACAGGGGAAAATCCGTCGGAAAA